TAAACTAAGACACTAAAATAAACCTGACATGAACTTAAACATTCATCATGTGACCCTTCAGGCTCATCAACTGACCATCTCCAGGTCCTCCACCCTCATGTTGGACACCATTGCACTCTGATCAGCCATGAGCGCGCGCACACACACACAGTGCATGGACGGATGGGAGCCCAATATGGATCCACAGGAGGTTCCCGTCCAGAACCACCAGAACAGACCAGGTGTCTGATTTGATCCAATCAGCTGCTTTGAACCCTAAATTAACTCACTGCAGTGTGTGTGTGTGTGTGTGTGTGTGTGTGTGTGTGTATGTTTGTGTGTCTGCCTATGCGGGCAGCGCGTGCGCACCTTGTCGCTCAGCTCGTCTTTTTGCCGCGCGGTGCCGCTCCTGCCGCTCCTGCGGCGCAGTTTGACGGACGGGGATCGCAGCAGGTTCTTGATGCGGCTGCGGATCGTTCCGCTCCCCTCCGCGTTCATCGCGCTGTTAGCTTCCCCGGCTAGCTGCCTCTCTCAGCGGCTCGTGCCTCTCTCTGTCCCCGCTGCTGCGCTCATGCCGTCTCTGGACCGGGCCGTTCTGGTACCGCTGTCCGGAATCTGGTCCTGGTTCTGAGCTCGGTCGGGTTGCTGGTGCTCAGCATTTTCTCCCCGCCGCGGCGAAGACACGAAGCGGCTTCAGCAGCAGCAGCAGACGGACCGGACTGACGCTCCGCAGACCGCAGCAGGTCATTTCCGGTCCGATCTTTTCAGAATAAAAGCCTCCAGGCTTTATGCTAGTATTTCAAAAACTACATTAAATATAAAACAAATTAAAATATAATAAAAAAGATGCAGCTCCAAAACTTCCTGAAAAAAGTTCATTTCTGTCCTTAATTTTATTGAAAAAAGTCTAAATATTCAGAAACATCGACTTTGTGTAAATTCATGTGATTTTTCTGATCCACGTTCTCAGACAGGACTCCTTCTGGATTCATGTGAGCGGATCAGTCCAGGTCTCTGGTCTAGTCCTCTTGGGGGTTCAGGGCAGACCTGTGCAGGGACATCATGGTCAGCGAACCCGTTTAGATGGTTTTGGGACGCCAGGTCCAGGCACACAAACACACATTCACTAACTCTCACACACACACACACACACACACACACACACACACACACACACACACTCAGACCTCGGTCTCTTTAGTTTATAACTTTATTTGTTTTAAACTTTATTTAGTGTTGAAGCAGGAAAACACTGTAAAAAATACAACTTTAAAAAACTGAACAGCTGTACAAAGAAATGATTTAAACTACAGAACCGGACCAGAACCCGGTCAGAAGACATGGAAAGACATGAGACCAGGTGCCGATCTGAGAGTTCCACAATCCAGAGTCACATTATCCAAAATTACATAATCCAGAGTCACTTAATCCAGAGTCACATAATCCAGAGTCACTTAATCCAGAATCACATAATCCCATTACAAAGTAAAACTATTTTATTCACTGAAATTAAACTTTGATTTTTTACTTTTTACTCAAAAACCGACAAAAAAATCAGGAGAACATCAGAACAGACACACAAACAGACACACACAGACAAACAGTGAGGTACCAAAAACTCTGGTTGCCCGTGGCTCTGGTTGCCTCTGGCTCTGAATGCCTGTGGTTCTGGTTGCCTGTGGTTCTGGTTGCCTGTGGTTCTGGTTGCCCGTTGCTCTGGTTGCCTGTGGTTCTGGTTGCCTGTGGTTCTGGTTGCCTGTGGTTCTGGTTGCCTGTGGTTCTGGTTGCCCGTTGCTCTGGTTGCCCGTTGCTCTGGTTGCCCGTTGTTCTGGTTGCCTGTGGTTCTGGTTGCCTGTTGCTCTGGTTGCCCATCATGTCGGCTTCATGAACATTGTCTTTGATTTTAATCTTAAAATCGTCATGGCAACATTGAGGCCTTTTTCTTCTCTGTTTAATTACCCAATCAGGTGCAGAACTTGCTGTGACATCATCACCATGTGACCTTAGATGGGGGCGTGACCTTTCAGCCCCAGAGGGACCAGCCTCGGCATCGGCCTCCAGGACACGCCACCCTGCCCTATCTCAACCCCTCCCCCTGCTTCATCTGTGATGGCAGGCTCCGCCTCCTTCACCCCACCCACCTTCATCTGTTGCAGAGGGGGTGGAGTCAGGAGACTTGGCGGTTCATGGTTCTTCAAAGTATCCATGGTAGCAGCGTCTTCAGAGTCTGAGTCTAGCTCGAGGAGCCAGGGTCCACCCTGTTCCAAGTCCCTCCCCACAGCTCCGCCCTCCTCCTTAAGCTCCGCCTCCAGGCTCTTACTGTTCAGGAAGTCAATCTCATGGAGGAGGGAGGTCAAAGCTGAAGCCCCGCCCACGGAGCCATTCCTGCCCACGATGAAGTCTAATCCTCCATCCAGAAGGTCCCCTGGACCATGACCTTTGTCCCTGGCCCCGCCCACCGTGTCCTTTCTCAAACCGGCAGACTCGGGGGGGCGGAGCTCCTGCTCTTCAGGTGGTTGTTCTGTTGTTTGTCTGTTATGTTTCTGAGTTGGCAGTTGTTGTTGTTGTTGTGTTTCTTTTTGTTGTATTATTGCTGATTGCTGTGATGTGAGTTTTAGTTGTTGTGTTGTATATTGCCATTGTTGTGTGGTTGTTGATTGTTGTTGTTGCTGTTGTGTGGGTGTCTGTTGCTCTTGTGTAATTGTTGGTTGTTGTTGCTGTGTGGTTGTTGCTTGCCTTTGTGTTGCTGTTAATTGCATTAGTATGGTTGTTGGTTGCTGCTGTGTAGTAGTTGGTTGCCTTTGTGTTGTCAGTTGCTCTGTTGGTTGCTGCTGGGTGGTTGTTGGTTGCCTTTGTGTCGTTATCCATTGCTCCGTGGTTGTTTCTTGCTGCAGCTGTTGTGTAGTTTCCTGTTGCTGCACTGGTTTCTGTTGTAGTGTTATCTGTTGTTGTTGTTGTGTTGCTGGTTGAACCAGTTGCAGCACTTTGTTGATGTTCGTTGCTGTAAACAGAGACAGAGTAAACTGGTTGAGCAGCTGGTTAGTTGACTAAAGTTGCAGACACCGTTGAGGTTTTGATCTGACATATGGGAGATTTTGACCCATTGGAAGTTGCGGGTTTTGTCTCTGATTGTAGTCAACGTGGTCAACTCGGCTGTGTTGATTGGTTGTCAGTCATGGTTGCTGGTCACTGATTAAAATTCCGTCTCCACGATGGTCTCATCAGACGTAGTAACCACGGTGACAGAGAAAACATGTGATCTAACCTCAGCTCTACTTAGTGAGCTGCTGGTCAGAGTTTCTGGTTGGTGAGTCAAACTACTTTAACTAATTTAACTAGTTTAACTAGTTAAACTAGTTAGTTCCTTTACAGTCCTCTGACTGTTGGTCATAGAAACTTCATCAGTTGGTCGTTTGTTTACTTGTTAACTCCTGGGTTGTTAAGAACAGTTGATATGTGGGTAAGTTTGTTGGTAGTTAACTAATGGATTGGTTAGTTAGTTAGTTTACTGGTAAATTGATGAGTTAGGGTTAGAGTGGTAAGTTAATAGGTTTGTCAATTTTAATCAGTGGGATGGCGAGTTAACTGGTTAATTAGTTGGTCAATCTAACGGTTGATTAAGAGGTGATTAGTTAGTTGAGGTTAGTGATGGTGAGGGGCGGAGCTGCAGGAGATCTTACCTGTTTGGGGGCGGGGCAGAGGGGTGAGGTGGATCTGCTGATTGGTCAGACCAGAAATGTTGAGGGTGACTGAGGCCACACCTACAGACAGGAAGAGAACAGGTGTAATTTCAAAATAAAAGCATGCTGCCGGTGAGAACAGAGTGGTCAGTACCAGCTGATGCTGATGTCACTGTTGGCCTCGCCGTCAGCGGACTCATGGTCAGGACCGGCTGACCCGGAATCGAGGCCCCGACCAGAGACAGAACCTCAGCAGGAACCACAGCCTGAAACGACAGCGGCCCTGGAGGGTCAAACAGAGAAGAGATATAAACAAACAAAATCGTCATGACAACAAACATTTATCGAGCACCTGACCAGCTTTCAACGGGTTAATCAAAACCAGTTACCATCAGTAACCATTAATAACCATCTCTAACCATTAATAACTGACCATCAGTTACCATCTGTAACTATCGCTAACCATCGGTAACCGTTAGTAACAGAGCGCTGGTTTCTCACCCGGCACAGTCTTCTTACTGCGACTCAGGATGTTCGGAACCGTCCGAATCCTGTCCCGACTCACTACTGTGTTCTGGGAAAAAGTGGGAGGAGCCAATAGAGCAACAGGTTTCTGCACAGGTATAGGGGCAGGCAACTGCAGCTGCTGATTGGAGGGCGGTACTATGACATCATCAGCTGATGGCGAGGCACTTCCTTTTTCAGAAGCTAACAGCTGACTGTCCGCCAAGTGTTTCTTCAGTGATGGTCGCCTCCTGAACGAACTTCTGTTACCTGCCACACACACACACACACACACACAGGTTAAAGGTGCTCCTCTGATCCTTAATTCGCTCATGTTGTTAGCTCGTGTCATTAGCTCGTGTCGTTAGCTCGTGTTGTTAGCTCATGTCGTTAGCTCGTGTCGTTAGCTCGTGTCATTAGCTCATGTCGTTAGCTCGTGTCATTAGCTCATGTCGTTAGCTCATGTCGTTAGCTTGTGTCGTTAGCTCGTGTCATTAGCTCATGTCGTTAGCTCGTGTCATTAGCTCATGTCGTTAGCTCGTGTCGTTAGCTCGTGTCGTTAGCTCGTGTCATTAGCTCATGTCGTTAGCTCGTGTCATTAGCTCATGTCGTTAGCTCATGTCGTTAGCTCGTGTCGTTAGCTCGTGTCATTAGCTCGTGTCGTTAGCTCGTGTCGTTAGCTCATGTCGTTAGCTCATGTCGTTAGCTCATGTCGTTAGCTTGTGTTGTTAGCTCATGTCATTAGCTCGTGTCGTTAGCTCATGTCATTAGCTCGTGTCGTTAGCTCGTGTCGTTAGCTCATGTCGTTAGCTCATGTCGTTAGCTCATGTCGTTAGC